AACATGGTGTCATTAAACCTGAGGGTAGAATGACAGATTGAAATTGAATGGATTGACTGACTGCCATTGATTGGATCACTTCCCTTCCTGTCAGAGGAGGGTAGGACTTGTCTGGGTACAGTTTACTTCTCAACAAGTAAAGAACAATACGGGAGAGGAGGGAATACTTATCACAGAATTAGGTGACTTGTCTGGACACTTATTCAGAGCGGGCTCTTCAGCAGATGTATTAGGACTTTTGGCCTTAAGTTTACATTCCCTTAAATGGAAGGGAATTGAATAATGTTTTAAAAGCAACTGCAGTCATCATAGGTTTTTCTAGACACTGCTACTTTTTTGAGGTGGTAGGATTTCTCAAGACTTCCTTTTCTGTAAGGAACAGATGAGTTAATCTCAGTGTCTTGACTGCCTCAAGGATTCTTAATCTACTGAATGGGATGAAAATTCATCCTTGCCTACTCACAGATGACTGAGGAGAGAGCTTCCATTTGTGTTAATTGATTTTTTTTTTTTTTATCTCAAGGAACTGTTAGATGTGAGCTTTGAAACCATAGTGTGTAAACTGTTTCTTGGGCTGCAGAGGTGGAAATGCAAGTAAACAAACAGCTCCAATGACTTCTCTTGTTTTATTAGAGTATTCCTATTAAAATCTCACCATGCTCCTTTCTGAACCAGTGATTTGCTATTAGCCTGTTTTGTTGTCGTGGTTTAACCCCAGCCAGCAAATAAACCCCACGCAGCCACTTGCTCATCCCCCCCTCCTCTGGTGGGATAGGGGAGAGAACTGGGAGGGCACAAGTAGGAAAACTCCCAGATTGAGATAAAAACAGTTTAATAATTGAAATAAAACGAAGTAGAATAGTAATAATAACGATGAGAACAATAACAGAATATACAAAGCAGGCGATGCACAATGCAACTGCTCGCCGACCATGTATCACAAACGGGGCCGAGCCCCCCCACACCCCTGGTTTTTATACTGAGCATGTTGTCACATGGTATAGAATACCCCATTGGCCAGCTGGGTCCATCACCCCGGCTGGGCTCCCTGCTCCACCCCAGCTTGCCCTGCATGTGGCAGGGCATGGTAGGCTGAAAAGAGAAACCAAACCTCTCCCCGGTGCAAGCACTACCCAGCAACAACCAAAGCATCAATGGGCCATCAACGCTCCTCTCATACCAAACCCAAAACACAGGACACCCCCCAAGCTACTGGGAAGAAAGTTAACTCTGTCCCAGCCGGAACCAGGACACTTATTAAACTGTCTTTATCTCAACCCATGTGTTTTCTCACTTTTACTCTTCCAATTCTCTTCCCCATCCCACCGTGGAGGGGAGTGAGCAAGCAGCTGTGTGGTGCTTAGTTGCCAGCTGGGGTTAAACCATGACACAGTTCAATTTCAAGGTCTGCAAAATAACG